ATTCGCAAAAATTCAGGAAGAGGGAAGACTTCCAATCACATTTTACAAGGCCAGCATTATCCTAATTCCAAAACTAGATAAAGATACTACAAAGAAAGAACATTCTAGGCCAGTACCCCTGATGAACACAGATGCTAAAATCCTCAACAAAATATTAGCAAACCAGATCCAGCAATACATTAAGAAGAGCATACAGCCCTGGCTGGTGTGGCTCAATGGACTGAGTACCAGCCTGAGAACCAAAGACTCTCATGTTCTATTGCCAAGTCAGGGCACATGCCTGGGTTGCAGGTCAGGTCCCAAGCAGGGGGCATGTGAGAGGCAACCACACACTGATGTTTCTCTCCCTCTCTTTCTCCCTGCCTTCCCCTCTGTCCAAAAATAAATAAATATATATTTTTTTAAAAAGAAGATCATACACCACGATCAAGCAGGATTCATTTCAGGAATGCCATTCACAAATCAACATCATATAAACAAAATGAAGGATAAAAATCACATGGTCATACCAATAGATGCATGACATAATCCAGCACCTATTTTATGATTAAAGCTCTCTTCAAACGTGGGAATACAGATCATATCTCAACATGATAGAGGCCATATATGGCATACCCACAGCTAACATCATCAACAGGCAAAAACTAAAGGTGTTTCCCTTAAAAACAGGAACAAGACTGGGATGTCCCCTTTCACTACTCTTACTCAACATGGCAATGGAAGTTGTAGCCACAAACAAAAGAGACAAATAAAAGGCATCCAAATTGAACAGAAGGAAGTAAAACTGTCATTATTCTCAGATGACATGATACTGTCTTTAGAAAACACTACAGACGCCACCAGAAAACTATACTAGAACTGATAAATGTATTCGTAAAAGTAGCAGGATACGAAACTAATATTCAGAAACTGGAGGCATTGCTTAATCTTCACCTGACAATATATTTATTGATTTTAGAAAGAGAGAGGGGAGAGGGAACAGAGATGTGAGAATGAGAGAGAAACACTGACTGGTTGCCTCCCCAGCTGAGGATGGAACCCGTAACCTAGGTATGTGTGCTGACGGGAGACTGAACCCTCAACTTTTGGTGCGTGGGATGATGCTCCAACCAAGTGAGCCACCTGGCCAGGGCACTGGTGATATTTTTATATACCAATAATGAACTATCAAAAACAGAAATTAAGGAAACAATCCTATTTACTATTGAAACCAAAAAATGTAGGGTAACTAGGAATAAATTTAACCAAGGATGTAAAGGACCATTTACTATTGAAACCAAAAAATGTAGGGTAACTAGGAATAAATTTAACCAAGGATGTAAAGGATTTCCAAGGATGTACTTGAAAAACTATAGGTATAAAAACTGAAGAAATAAATAAGTAATATACAAATGAATTGAATCATATTCTGTGTTCATGGATAGGAAGAATTAACATAATTAAAATGTCCTTACTACCCAAAGCAATCTATAGATCAATGCAATTCCTATTAAAATACCAATGGCATATCAGAACAAGTATTTCAACATTAATGTGGAACCACAAAAGATCCTGAATAGCCACAGCAATCTTGAGAAAGAAGAACAAAGTTGGAGGTATCACAATACCTGATATCAAACTATACTACAAAGAAATAGTAATCAAAACAGTATGTTACTGGCATAAGAACATGCATATATAGGAACAGAAAAGAGAACCCAGAAATAAAACCACACTTTCATGGTCAATTAATACTTGACAAAGGTGATAAAAATATACAATGGAGTAAAGATGGTCTCTTCAGTAAATGGTGCTGGGAAAACTAGACAGATACATGAAAAAAAAAATGAAACTAGACCACCAACTTACCCCATACACAAGAATAAACTCAGAATGGATTAAAGACAAATGTAAATTGCAAAAACCCTAGAAGAAAACATAGGTAGTAAAATCAAACATTTCTCATGGCAATATTTTTGCTGATATACCTCCTTGGGCAAGGGAAACAAAGGGAATAATAAACAAATGGGACTACATCAAACTAAAAAGCTTTTGCATAGCAAAAGAAACTCAACAAAATGAAAAGGCAACCTACTGAATGGAAGAATATATTCACCAATAATACATCTGATAAGGGGTTCATTTCCAAAATATATAAAATATATACAACTCGACACCTAGAAAACAAACAATCCAATCAAAAAAATGGGCAAAGGCTCTGAGTAGACACTTCTCCAAAGAGAACATACTGATGGTCTATAGACATATGAACAAATGCTCAACATCACTAATCATCAATGTACCACCTCATGCCTGCCAGAACTACTACCACCAATAAATCAAAAAACAAGTGCTGGTGAAGATGCACCATTGGTAGAAATGCAGACTGGTGCAGCCACTGTGGAAGACAGTATGGTGTCTCCTCAAAAAAGTTTGAACCAATAATCCCACTTTTGAGAATATATTCTAAGAATCCCGAAACACCAATTCTAAAAAATATATATACCCCTATGTTCACAGCAGTGTTACTTATAACAGCCAAGGTCAGGAAAGAGCGGAACTGCTCATCAGGAGGTGAGTGGAAAAAAGCTGTGGTACATTTAAACAATGGAATACTACTTGGCCGTAAAAAGGAAGGAAACCTTACTTTTTGTGACAGCATGGATGGACCTGGAGATTATTATACTAAGTGAAATAAGCTAGTCAGAGAAAAACAAATACTGTATGATCTCACTTATGTATGGAATCTAATGAACAAAATATACTGACGAATGAAACAGAAATAGGGGCATGGTTACATGGAACAGACTGATAGCTGTCAAAGGGGAGGTGGGTTCAGGGGGGCGGGTGAAAAAAAGGTGACGGGATTAAACAAAAAATAGACATATACACATACATAAAACACTAGACACAGACAACAGTATGGTAACAGCCGGATGGAAAGTGGGGGGTAGGGGAGGTTAAAGAAGGCAAAGGGGGGATAAATGAGGATGGAAAGAGACTCTACTTTGGATAATGGGTGCATAAAATAGTGTGCAGATGATGTTTTGTTGAGTTGTACACTTGAAACCTGTATAATTTTGTTAAACAATGTCACCCTAATAAGATAAATACATACATATATACATACTATTTGCACCTTACTTTGAAACATATCATAATTAGTAGGTATCAGTTTTAATACATTCTTCTGGACCTCCTAATTCCCACCAGTTTTTTAATTTAAAAAATCTAGTAAAATGTGTCTTATTGTAACAAGAATTTCCAATATTACTTTGCATTTTCATAAAGAAAACTTTTAAAATCACAATCTTTTAGCTTTTAAATCAATGATAATAATTTTTTTTCTCTTTTTTCAAAGTCAAAATACGGCTATACAAATTTTAACCAAATTTCATAAGCATGTATGAGATAGTCTGACCTATAAACACCTAACTTACAAAAAATTTCATTTTAGGCCCTGACTGGTGTGGCTCAGCGGATTGGATCATACTGCAAACCAAAGGGTCACCAGTTAAATTTCTGGTCATGGCACATGCCTGGGTTGTGGGCTAGGTCCACAGCTAGGGGCATGTGAAAGGCAACTACTGATCAATAGGTGTTTCTCTCATACATTGAAGTTTCTCTCCCTCCCTCCCTCCCTTCCCCTCTAAAAATAAATAAATAAAATCTTTTAAAAAAATGTTTTTAAAATTCACTTTGGTGTAAAGAAAAAAAATGCACTTTGTGGAGTTTTGGGGTGCCCCAAAGGCATAGGCAGTTCAAGCACCAAGTCATCTGAAACTTCCAAACAAGAAAGACAAACTATGAGAATGAAGGCACTGTAGAAAGAGAAAAGCAGTGTTTTCATATATAAGTTCCAAACTTAAAGTCATAAGAGCAGAATCTTTGAATTGCAAGCTTTGATTTTAAGTTGAGATATTCCACATAGAGGCAACTTTATGTAGCCTAAACAGGACACCAATTTATTTATTTATTTAACCCTAGTTAATTATTTTCCTGGCAAGATTACTAATTAATTCTATTCCCAGCTTTTAAACGCATTATATTTTTGTGGGGTTTTTTTTAGGTTTTTTATTGTTATTATATTTCAGTGGTCCCACTTTTCCCCATTTGCCCTCCTCCACCCATCCCACCCCCTGCTCCCAAAATCTATCCCCCCACTGCTGTCCGTGTCCATGGGTCACTCATACACATTCTTTGACTAGTCCCTTCCCCTTCTTCCCACCATTGTCCCCCTCCCCTCATTGCTATAAACACATTTTTGAAGTGTCAAAGTTTTCACTCCTCTCAGCAATCCAACAAAGTAATATGTTCATTTAAAAACATAAAGTTATTTTTTTAATATTAGAAACCTATAATAAATCAAAACTTATGGACTATACTGAATTACTGAACCATTCAGAATAAGGAATATTTTTCCCTGTCCTCAAATTCTGGGCCAAGAAATAACAATCATATCTAAAAGAATAATAAAAAGTTAATTAAATGACATATTGATTACTAATGCACAAAGAAAATATTTGCTAAAGTGGCCAATACCTACATCAGCTTTTAACACCTAAATTAAAAATCACTATTGCAACATTAATCTCAATAAATGAATTTATGTAGTTAACTAGAATTCAAGCATTTGTAAAAAGCATTACTCAAAATTAAATAGCCTATGTTATGAAGTGTTTACTGTGTTGAATACGAGTACCTTATAATAATCATGCATCCTAGAAGATCAATATCAAATACTCTGAGAAACTAAAAAAAAAAAAAAAAAAAAAAAAAAAAGGCTTTTATTTAATTAAGGACCAAGCTATTCATAGAGATTTTAAGACCTTAGTTACTAACCTGAAAAAAAGATTTATCAGAAAAATATCTTCAGGTTTTCTAGGCCGCTTATATCATGTTATGCTATATTTTGTTATATTTATAAAAAATACATAACCATGTGAACTATGAAATCAAAGTACTAATCAATAGTTTCAAGAAAAACATAAAATGTCAATCATAGTATTATTTATTCTTACCTCTGAACTATAATCATCGGCTGCGGTTGAAATTTCACTTTCCGGCTAAAACAAAAGTAAAAACCAATTACATTAAAGCCTTTCCCCACCTAAATACCATATTTTATTAACCAATTACTATTAGTACTAATGACAGAAAACTCACATAAAAATATCACTAAAAAACTTTAAAAATTATTCAGATCTTTAAAATTTTCACTCTGATTAAGAATTGCTAAATAACACATGTAAAAATTTTTTTTAAGTTATAAAAATTATAAATTTTTTAAAATTAATTTATTTATTTTTTCAAATACATTTGTCTCTGCCTACCCCCCACCACTTTCCCTTGCCCCTTCCCTCCCTCCCTCAACTCTTCCCCTTTGGTTTTGTCCATGAGTCCTTGCTATAACACATGTAAAATTTAATACTACATACTTTCCTATATATAAAAGTATCAAGAGGTAGTTTCACACAATGTCTTGTGTCACTACAAATCATTTGTAATACAAAAACACCAATTTATCATCCCATTAATTCTTGTCTCATTTAAATAAAAAAAGTCCTAATATGTTAGTAAAAAAGTTCAATTTCTTCAAAAGGAACAATCATCTAAATCTTGATGCTAGGAAAGTAGCAGCAACTTCAAGAAAAAGTACATGCTTTGTTGTTATTAACAATTTTGCAGGCTACAAAGCACTTTTAACAACATTCTTGTTTCACCTTAACATCCCTGTGATTTGGGTATGAAGGTGAGTGGCTTTTCCAAGCTGCCCTCAGCTGAAAAGTACCGTGCTAGGAAGAGTCAAGGAGGTAACCCAAATTTTCATTGCTTTCACTCTTCTTCTTCTCATGTAAAACTCTCTTTTTACAAGTGAGAAAAAAAGACCCAGATGTTTCACCTCTTCATTCAACAAATAAGAACTATCACTGTTTTTTTTCTCATCTATTTATGGAAATTTTATTCACCACTCAAGAACAAGTTTTAAGTCTACCTCCTCTATGATGTAGTAACTGATGCCAGGAACAGAAATAAGGCTTCCCCCTATTCTAAAATGCTGTAGCAGTGGTTCCTTGCTCATGTAACCCTTTCTTTAAAACTAAAATATTTTCATGACAGAGGCCCCCATGGTTCACTTGCTTATGCACACTGCGTACTAAAAACAGTGTACTGAGGGTAAGACACTCTTTGCAATAGAAATGCTAAAACTAGTGAAGAGCGCAAATGCAGAAAAACATAATGATCACCATTTTCAAGCCAAATCAAGCACCAAAACTGTGCTATTATGTTATTTGAAAGGTCCAGATTTCAAAAGAAAATTTCAAGATACACAAATAAAAAAGAAAGTATGGCCCATACAAAAGAAAAAGAGCAGTCAGTAGAAAATGTCCCTAAGGAAACACAGATATTGGACTTAAATAAACAAAGACTTTAGCTATTTTAAATATAGTCAAATAACTATCTAAAAAAACTAAAGAAAATTATAAAAATAATGTTCCACCAAATAGAGACTATCAGTAAAGAAAAAGAATGTATAAAAGAATCAAAAAGAAATTCCGGTGTTTAAAATAACTGAAAGAAAAATTCACTAGATAGGCTTAATAGTGTATCTAACGATGAAGAATAAAGAATCAGCAAACTAGAAAACAGTTCAATTGAAACTATCCAGTGAGAGGAAAAGAAAGGAAAAAAAAAAAAAGAATGAACAAAATGAACAGAGCCTCAGAAATCTGAGCAACAATATCAAACGTGCTAACACCTGCATAATGGAAGACTCAGAATGAGAGGAAAGGGGCAGAAAGAATATCTGAAGACATATTGGCTAAAAACTTCCCAAATTAATAAAAACATTAATCTACACACCCAAGATACTCAACAAACTCTAAGTAGGGGAAAAAAGAAAAAGATACATTCTTATGATGACTAACAAATCTCTGACAGTCCTAACTTTTTGAATAAAGCTCAAATCCTGATATGTCTAAATCTTTTTGTTTCCACATAACTATACCAAGACACAATCCAAATTATAATACACTGCCTTGTCTAACACTGTCCCTCCTAAGCATTCTACCTAATCATTCTCTACTCCTGGTCTTAGTTGGTGGTTCTACTATCCCATTCACCATCCTAATCCACTCTTAACTTCTCCCTCATGTTGCTATACTAGAAGATTACATTCACCAGGAGGGTGAAAATTAGTATTTATTGAGAACTTTCTGTGGACCAGGTGGAATCTCCTGCCCTTCACCACTACCACCATCCCACCCTCATTACTTTGTGATCCATTTAAAACTAAACTATTTATGGTTTTCAAATCACATCCCACGGTTTCATGTCTTTGTGAACGCAATCTTTTCGGCACAGAGATTGTGCCCCCTAATTCTTTGTCTCTAGCTAAATAACCACACAAGGATGATTTGGGCATTCTCCCAAATCACGACATTCTAGGGTACCATTCAGGGGTGTCCAACCTTTTGGCATCTCTGGGCCACCCTGAAAGAAGAATTATCTTGGGCCACACATTAAATACACTGCAACACGTAATCCCCCAAAAATCTCATAATGATTTAAGTATATTTATGATTTTGTGTTGGGCTGCATTTTGTATTGGGTTCACAGCCACTCTGGGCTGCACGCAGCCCACAGGTCCCAGGTGGGACACACCTGACTATACGCTGTTGCCAGCATAGTTTTAATCAGGGTACATGGTCTATCTTACATCTGCCCTCCCCCCCCAGATTGACTTTCCTAATGAACAGTGACTGTCATATTTACCTCTATGTCCTTGGTGCTCAATCCTTGGTGTATTACAGTTGCCCAATAAATGTTTATTGAATCAAGCTCATAAACATTTGCAGAGTGCTAATGAATGTTGTCTTACAAAAACTTTCACTAACAATTTTAATGTTTGAAAATCTGGACGAATACTTACTTCAACAGAGAAGACCTGGTCATGTTTGATTATTTCTCCACTGTGTAAAGTTCTCATTATTGTGGATTCAGGAGTCACAACTGATCCTACTCCCTGAGAACTATTCATATACAAATCATCACTGTGTGATTGCTCAATATTCAAAGAATGGTATGCTGATACATCATGTTTACTGCTTGAAGTATTCTTCCTTTTTTTCTTCTTAGAGGGATTCAGCCCATCACATTGAGCTTTCTTTTGTCGAAACTGGGCAAGCTATAGAGGAAGAGAGAGAGAGAGATTGTCATTACTGTCAAAGATAATTCTTCTTTATCACCACTAAGAAAAAAACAGCTTTGGAGTCTCTTTTTTTAAACCATCATTAAAGTGATGACAAAATAGAGGACAATTGTTAACAAATGAATAAGTATTGAATTGCAAAGAAATTAAGTATTTCTGAATGAATGCTTTTCAGATATTGAAAAGAACGAAAAACATCATGTCTAATGAAAAAATTTAGCCCAGAATTGGGTAGAATAAGGAAAAACAGGCACTCTCACTCACTGTTTGGTGACAGTATAAACTCTGGATATGAGATTATATAAAAATATAAGAGCTCTAAATAAATTTGCTTGTGGAATTTCTGGGACTTCTACTAATTTATACTAAATGAAATTGGTCCACGCAGGACAGATTTAGCTATATAAATGATCACTGCTGCCTTGCTTATAATTTAGAAGTAATTTTATTATCAAACAACAGTGCTTCTCATCCCTTAATCATGAGAATTTTTGCCATGTACTAGTGCCACTTCCACTTATCATTTACTTAACATGTTTTAACTTCTGTGCTTTTCTTATTTAAGTTTATTTTAAAAGAAGACTTTCTACCCATGATATAAATTAATGGCCAGTATCACTTGTGACTTCTTAAAGTAGTAAACAGAAATAAATACAATGAAAAATAAAACTACATTTTATTAAAATTTTATTTAATACTGCTGAAGGTTATGAAAGACACAGGCAAGTGTGAAAAGGATATAAAGGATTTATGAGCATCAAACAGACTTTTGGTTTGTCATTAGCAGATGAACTTAAAAAGTATCTGGAAAGGTAGTAATTTCCTTACAATACTATCCAGTGTTGTTTAATACTGGATTAGGGTATCACTTAAAATATATGTCACCACCTAAAATCAGAAGAAGTAAAATTACATGCTCTGCGAAACACTGGGTTAACTCAATTGAAATAATATTAATGCAAACTATTATTAATAATGAAGATGTTCATGACACTGTACTTATAAAATAATATTGCAAAGTATTATTTTTTTTAATAAAAGAAAAATTATATGTATCTCTTTTAACAAAGACAAGGGAGGATTCAGACTCACAGCCTTCATCAATTCATTTTAATTAGCATGAATTTTAAATAACTTTGGTATGTCTCTGGATTTGAGATTGCAGGTACTTTGTTTTATGTTCATTTGAAATTTTCTTTCTTTATGTAATAAATTTTCTAAATTTTATATGAAGCAACTATTAACCATGAATTCCTAAATTTAGTTTGAGCTCCTGATCATTCTCAAGCAGAGAAACAAAAGCATAAGAACAGGTGTAAGCCTCTTGTGCCTTAAAAGGAGGAAACATATTACCAGTAAATTAACTACGTAACTACTAATCAGACCAATGACAAAGTGGCCATTAAGTTTCTTATAAAGTATTAAAGCCCTCTAATATTGATGTTGATATCATTAACTATCAAAATATATGGCAAATACCAGAACCTATAGAATAACACACAGCATACTTTATTCTCATTGTCTGTTGTAGAAGAAGAAAAGTATATAGTGTTAATAAGAAAGTCTACTTCATAAGTCAGAACTATAGAATTATTAACCTTGGAGACTATAAAAATATATTACATTTAAATTTTTATCCCAGCTATTTGGCAACCAGCCCGTTATTCTACCTCACGTCTGCTTAAGGAACAGATGCAGCACCAGTTGCCTCTATTTGTACATTATTAAGCTGCTGGAATGCATTTAAACTACTTTGAGGACAGCAGATTCATTCTTAAAAATAAATCAATTGAAACACCATTATGTATTATCTGTAAATAGAATCAAAAGTCTAAGCACATCATTTTTTAAAAGACCCCTCAGAAACAATGCAAAACCAAGAAAAATATTAATAATGGCATTCTTGATATTTATGCTCAATTTCAAAAGCTTCATAAACACCTATCTTATCTGTGTTAGAAAAGATATTCAGACAGAGGATATCAGGACATAAATGAAGATTCTGTTTAAAATTTCAATTGTTGGGTTAAATTTATATTTAATATTTACTTAAATGTACAAACATATAACAAAGGAGAAAACTAAAACTGCATTATAAAAAGTTTAATTAAAGAAATACTGTCTGAGATAAAAGAATACATTACTAAATGAACCCAAGTGAAAAAGTTAATCATAGATACAGAATGAAAAGTAGAATGGTTCTATTAGTGTTCATAATGAATCGCTTGTAAGGGCATAAAATTACCAAGACATTGTTTTAGGCCTGTTACTGATTATATGAATATTTGTTTTAGAACAATTAACCAGAAGGTAAAGTCCATGAAGATGAAAACTTCTGTTCACTGCAATATTTTCAAAGGCTAGAACAGTATTTGATAAATACATGTTGAATGAAAAATGAATAATTTATATTTTAAAGTCACTACGAAGTAATCATTTTAAGTACTATTCCACAGAACCTGAGAATTACGATGATATAGGCATATCTAATTCTACCATATAAAAAAGTTCCACAGTCTCAGAATTAAAATTAGTAATTACATAAATTAAAACACAAAATAATCTCTCTCACCACAATCTCTCCTTCAGTAGCCCCCAATCTCCCCCCAAAACAAGACAAAATTATATTCACAAAAATAATTCCCACAATAGCTTTCTTAGCAAGAATTCTGTTTTATAAAGGAGAGGATTCAAGATTGTATCATAAATCTAATTTCCTATACCCATCTAATCTATTTTTATTATAAATCTAAAAATGGCAAGCTAACAGATAAGCAAATATCAGAAACGCTACTCAATCAGCTAATCACTTGATACTGATATGATACACTTTAAATTATTGGGAAAACATTTAGTTCAAAACATTTAGTCCAAAACATGCTGAAAATTCATACTATAGCCATCTGTGTTTGTCATTTGAGAGCCAATTATAAAAAATGTTAGCATATGTAGGCACAGAAATAGTTGTGAAATTTACTAGAAAGATATTATGTCCACATACACTTGTGTTTGAAAACTGATTCAGATCTCAGGCAAGAAAATATCTTACCTCACTAGAACATGAATAAACAACTAAACAAAAATGATAATTTATTACTTAAACTTAATATTTATAACTTTATAAATGATCATTCTCAATAAAACATTTTTTTAAAATGCTGTATAAAACATGCCAAACTTTTTATAATGTCACTTCAAAAAAACGTGCTAAATGAAATATGTTGTGTTTCTTATATGAGTGTTTACTATGTGCCAGGCACTGTGCTACACATGAGTTAAAATAGGTCCTAGCCCTGCCTGTTATGGCTCAGTGATTCAGCGCCAGCCTGCAAATTAAAGGGGTCACCCGTTCAATTCCAGTGTCTGGGCACGTGCCTGGATTGCAGGCCAGGTCCCCAGTAGGGGGCACGTGCGAGGCAACCACACATTGATGTTTCTCTCCCTCTCTTTCTCTAAAAATAAATAAAATCTTTAAAAAATAAATAAATTTCAATATACACATATATGTATATGGTTCTAATAGCAGGGTGTTTTAGTCTAGGCCAGTCTATTACTTCACTGAGTTATGAGAAACAAGTAAGATAAAAGTTAGTGTCCAATATCATAAACTCAACAGTCCTCACTAAATCTCTAAGGTGATATGGGAACCTCTCCTAATATTCTCAAAACAGACTTTCTGTAAGTGGTGTGCGTGTAGAGTTTTATATCTGTAAAGGAAATAATTTGGCATATGACAGGTATTAAAAGTAGTTCATTTATTTAGCAAATATTTACTGACAGTGACCTATCATGTGCCCAACAAGTGCTAACTGCAGGGCATGTAGTAATGAATCAGATACAAACTCTACCCCTGAACTGTCATTCAAGTAGGAAGAACAAATTAAACAAATACAGATAAATACAGATATATATCATTTCAAGAGATAAAAAGTGCTCTGAAGAAAGAGTATAGGTACTACAGAAAGCATAAAACGGAAAGGTCTAATTTGGATGGGAATACGGGGAGAGGTCAGGAAGTACTGAGAAAAGAATAATCAGTAAGTGGCAAAATATAATAGAACAAGAACATCTGACCCCAAATCCAGTATTCTTTTCATTATACCAATTTGCATGTCATGCATTCTGAGCTCTCTTTTCCTTCATTTGTCAATATACTTCAAATTCTAGAAACTAAGTTTAAAGGCACAAACAAATGAAATCACTAAACAAATACTTTTTTGATGAGACTGGGAGAAAACACTCATATACAAAACACACATAACATACACCACACACTCCCCAGAGAAAATACTATAAAGTATTTTGAAAATATTATCTATTCTCTCCAGTTTTCAAAATTGCTAAAAGTAGAGCTACTTCCCATGTTTTTTGCTGCAGAAAATTTAAGATCTTAATTAATTCTAATTATGGTAATTATTTGTACTTGTCAGTGCTGCCTTTAAACCTTTTTTAATATTCCTTAATGAATGTTGCTCAAGAACGCTATACAAACTATTACAGCAAATCTCCAGGGGCCCAGCTATGGAAACAAAAAGATTACAACAGTTGACCCAAAGGCAATTTGTACTGTATGTAGAGTGAAGTAGGGCAACTGAAAGCAAAGACAAAAGCAACATTTTGTGCTCTGAAGCATGTTTTCCAACAATATCTCAGAGATACAAACTGCTGGAAAATAACAGTGCCAAACTGACCGAGGAAATCAGATATGCAAAAGACCACAGGACCTTACATTACTGAGCATCCAACCTATTTATATCCTAGAATCTCAATGAATGCAGATTTTCTTTTCCCTCAAAAGGTTTGGAAAATTATGTCTAAAAGGAAAGCAGATTCTGCAGCCTTGGGAATCATCTTAATTTTACTTGTTTTAACATATTTCATTGTCTGGCACATAGCAGGCACAAATATTTGTTGAATGAAAAGTTTCAAAAAGAATAAGGTTTACATATAATAAAGTACTAGACTGTTGTGTCTAC